GAACTATGTTCCAAAAGCCCACAAGACTCTGCCATCTACTCATCTCTAATGCCAGACTGCCACTATTTCCCTACTGATAAGACAGAGAAAATCCGAATTTCATAACAGCCATTTTGGCACTGCGAGATTTATCAGGAGAAGCCTCTAAGAGATTAGTTTTTAGCTATGGTTTGGTGTCCACGCAGACTGGCTCCCGTAGATTCCCATGGCAGACAGCTAACAAGCACATCGGTCACCTTTCTGCCACATGAATGGAGGGCTGCACGCTGGCCTCCTCAAAGTATTAATAAGGTGACATCGGGAGGAAGGCCACTGGGTGCATTTCCCAATCTTCAAAGGCTGCAGTGGTCTTGGTGGGCTGGCAGCTGGGAGCTGTCGGCAACAACTTCTGTGAATATTTCAGAAACAAACATACCTCCTCCCAGAGCTGCCCAAACCACCATCCATTTAACAATGGAAAGAGCTATCTGTGTCCCAGGCGCTCAGATCATGGAAGGGCACGGTGGATCCCAGATGTGGCATGGAGGGGCTTCTAGGCGAGTGAGGAAAGCAATCCAGTTAACAGCAGTGACAGTGTCCTCGGGCATGGGAGGGTCCTGACCCAGGAGCCCAACCCAGTGAGGTGAGGGAAGGCGTACCGGGAGATCTCTTCAGAGAAATGGACTTTTACTTGGTGGCTGGAAGTGTGAGTAAGGTTCAGCGAGTGCAGATCAAGTGTGTCCCAGGGACAGAAACCTGGGGGAAAACCACAGGGGTGAGGGCCCAGTAACTGCAGAGCTGGGTTCATTAAAAAAAACAGAAAGGGGTCCAGTGGGGTGGGGGTGGGCTGCAGATGTGAGGGTGAGAGGTAGGGTTGCGGAACAGGCAGGCCAGGGTCAGGAGTGTGGCTGCTCTGCTGCTGCAGGGAGAGCCACTGAGGTAGGGGGGCGTCGCAAGCAGAGGCCTTTGGAAAAATCACTGGGCTCCTGGCAGTGGCGTGGGGTGTGGAAAGTGGATTGAAAGAAGGGAGAAAGCCCAGCTAGGGGATAAACAGAGTGGCAGAGGCAGCGGCAGAGCCTGGGCTGAGAGATGGACTGTGTGCCCTGGGGAACATTTTTACATAATCTCATGGGGCTGAACCTGGACCTGGAGCGAGAAGAGCTGACCTGAGGAGATGGAGGACGGCCAAGTGCACAGTTCCCCTCCTCCTCCTTCCCTGTTTCTGTCTGCTCGCTTCTCTCCCTCCTTGCCTCTTTTTCTCCCTCCTCCTTTCCTCCCTCCCTCCCCCTCGCTCATTCTCTTTCTTCCCTTTCTTCCTTCCCTCTCCCTTCCTCCCTCCCTCCCTGTCTCTCTCTTTCTCTCTTCCTCTCCTTTGGTCCCTCCCCCATATATTCCAGCAAGCCTTAAAGAATTGATGTCTACTGCAACCCTCTCCCCACCCACGCTCTCTGCTAAGTGCCCTTCACTATATTTATATTTCCATTACTTTCTCCTCTGTCAGTTAACACATCTATAACTTTCTTGGCACTTTCTTTGTGAAAATACACAATTCATTCACTTACCTCAAGAACTTTCCTCCAAGAGCTTTATGCGGAAAGAAACAAAAGTGAACAAGAACTTTCCAGGGCTCTAGGGAGATGTCCTTATTTGTAGACTCTCTTGTATAAATGTGCATGGAAATTGGAAGTCTGAATTTCAGTATATAAAGTAAACAATGGGAGCTAATTGCGGCAACCTCTGTGGAGCCTGTTCAGATCCACTAACCAACCCACTAGTTTTATCTACTTCACAATATCTATTTTCTGCCCCTTATAGTTTCTCTGTCCTGACACAAAAAGCAATGATGTAGGTAAAGAGCACTGTGGTATCCTATCAGGCATCCCTGGGACGTACATTTTGAAGAATTCTAAGCACACCTATAAATCCCAACTAATCTGAGGGCTGAGGCAGGAGGATCACAAATTCCAGTCTGGGCAATTTAGCATGTTTGTACACCAAAATAAAATTGAACAAAGACAGGGGATGTAGCTCAGCACTAGAATACTTTCCTAGCATGTGTGAGGCTCTGAGCTCAATTCCCAGGACTACCAATTTTTAAAAAATTAAGGAATTCCAATATTAGTAGTAATAATGACATCATTATCAGCTTGGAAAATGCCTCCACACAGGTTTTGGGAGAACAAGCTGATCCCAGCAAAGCCAGGACCAACCACTGAATGAGTTTACATGACCCTAAGACTGAGGCTTCCTTCAATTTTTGTTGTACTAAAATACACATCTCATAAAATTTATCATTTTCACCATTTCAAGTGAGTAGTTCATTGGCATTAAGTACATTCACACTGTTGTACAGCTATCACCACCATCCATCCCCAGAAGGTCTTCTTTTTCTCAAACTGAAACTCTGAACCCATTAACACTAACTCCCATCCTGCCTGTTGTGGTTTGTATCTACATATCTCTTCAAACCTTCATGTGCTCCTAGGTGGTGCTTCTGAAGGGTGATTGAATTATGGGCTACTATGCTAAATGTGCCATTACAAGTTGGGGCCTGGTGGGAAGAGGCAGGTCACTGACAGCATGACCCAGAAGCAAATCTCCTTCCTGGTTCCTCCCTTCTCTCTCTTTTCCTACTTCCTGGACACCACCACGTGAGCAGCTTTTCTACACTGTTTCTTCTTTGGAGCTAGCTGACCACAGACTGAAATGTGAGCCAAATAAGCCTCTCTTTTACATTTGTGGGTGTAAGGTATTTTGTAAGAGTGACAAAGAAAATGACTAAGATACTCCATGTCCCCAAAGTTTTAAAATCCCCAATGTAGTTTCTGTCTCTCTGAAGTTGACACTGGTGGTTCCTCATATAAATGGAATTATTTAGTACATGTTCTTCTGTAACTGGCTTATTTCACTGTAATGAAATAAGTGTCTTCAAGGTTTATCCAGGTTGTAGCATTGTCAGAATGTTTTTCTTTTTTGAAGTGCATGTATAGCATGCCACATTTTATTTATCCAGTGTCTTGGTTACTTTTCTCTCATTGCTGAGACAAAATACCTGATGCCTAAAATTAAGATAGGAAAGATTGCTTTAACTTAGAGTTTGTGGAGGTTTCAGTCCATACTTGGCTGGCTCCAAGGCAGAGTGGCACACAGCAGAAGGCAACCGTTCATGGTGGGCAGAAGATAGCAAAAGCAGCAAGCACAAAAGGGAGGAGTGGCACAAGCAGCTTCTTTCTCTCCCTTACATATGCAAACTACCTGCCCCAGGTAGTTATGGAGTAGCACTCACTCCCATAACCCCAGCGTGGGACTATTGACCAATCATAAATCTAGAAGCCCGCTCCATGACTGCATGAGGATTTGGGGGGACAACCAGACACAAACCATAACATCCAGTCATCCCACAATGCACACTTAGGTTGCTTCCACCTTTTGGCTAATGTCAGCAAAGCTGCTGTGAACATGGATGTGCAACTAGATCTTTGAGTCCGTGCTTTAAATCCTTTGGGTACATACCCAGAAGTGGAATTGCTGGATTGTACAATGAATCTATTTGAAATTTTTCATGGCCTGCAGTGTAGTTTACCATAGTTGATGCACCATTTTCCATTTTCCAATACTGCACGAGGAATCCAGTTTGTCCACATCCTCACCAACACTTGTTATTTTCTGTCTTTGAAAATTGTAACCACCTTCATCTGTGTAAGTGATATGGTATCTCATTGTGCTTTTCTTGCATTTTCCCAGTTACTAGCGATGTTCAACGTCTTCTGACTCATTTTTTGGCTGTCTGTATATCTTCTCTGTAGAATATGTAGGCAGGTTCTTTGGCTATTTTTAATTGAGTTGCTTAGGGGTTTCTGTGGAGGTATATGAACAATTTTATACCCTGAATATTAACTCCTGATTAGATACCTGTTTTGCAAATGTTTTCCCATTCCACAGATAGCCCTTTCTGTCTTCTGATTTGATGTACAGAGATGAGCTCTTGTCAAATGAGTACAGTACGCCAGGCACTGTTCTATGTATTTTACATACAATAGATGTGTTCAGTTACCACATATAAACTTCCTTAATTTTTATAGCAGCCTTACAAGTTATACATGGCTTAGATCCCCACTTTATAATGGATAAAGTGCAGGGGGTAACATACCTAATAGGCGGTCAAGCTAGGATTTGAATCACAGAAGCCTGGTTCCAGATTTTGTATTCCTGACCAATTATAAATATAGCTGATGCAACATCTTTCCCATATTTAATTCCTAAGTTATTTCAGACTTTGGCATCTTCCAGCACAGTCGGTTTCCAGCAAACTGCATTTTTAGGCTCCACTTAGATATCACAGCTTCTCTCCTAGCATTTCTTTCCCTTCTCTTGGCTCACAGAAATGACTTATATTCTATCCTCATGTGAGCAAGATCTGAGCCTCACTCTAAGTCCAACTATTCCTATTTAACACTCATTCCACGATTATATTCATGAGCTAGCATCAGGGCCAGCAATTAAGCCCCAACTACGCTATACTAGGGCAGTGGTGTTGCTGCTCCTCCTACTCCAGCGGGACTTGGAGAGTGGATGGAAGACTGGTCCTTACTCTTAGACACCAAAAAAAATAAAAAGCAAACCTCACTTCTTTGGCTAGGAGCCAGCAAATGGACACCATCTAGCAAGTAGCTGGTTCAGTGTCTCAGCAAGTTATACACTTCAGGGAGAGGAATAATTTATTCATGTGCTCACACACTGTCTTTGGCTAATGAAGTGTCGTGTGTTTTCCATATGTTTTCACCAATACTGGATTTTAATGTATCAGAGGAAAAAGCCCCGCCCACCTCATGAAACAAGATGTCTTACTAAGTCAAGGAAATTTACCAGGGAAAGACTCACTTGAGTAGATTTTTGGAAATATTTCAGCTGGTGACACTCATTTCTCATAACTGCTTTTCACCTGGCTAGGTTCCAGGTAAAAGGGCGTGGTAGTCTCTGCTGCCCGAGTCATTAGTTATTGCTCTTCTTGTTATCTGCAGGGTCCTGTGGCTGCACTCCAAGACAGGTCACTGGGTGTATCCTGTGTTGGCAAAACTCAGCCCCGTGGGCCTCGCAGCCTTCTTCTTTCTCAGCTACAGCCTGACTGCCAGCCTCTTTCTACTTGGAGAGAGACTCAACCACTGGAAATGGGGTCAGTGAGTTGCTCTCTGGTACAGAGACACTTTTTTCTTACCCTTTCCCTACTCCTCCTGGGACCCAAAGGAAAAACTCATCCAAACAGAGGGAAAGGGTGTTCGATGCCTTTGCCCAAAGAACCCTGATTGGTCTCACCGAAGTAGCACAGGAAAAGCCTGGACCGAGTTGATCAGTCAAAGGACTCCACCAAATTATCTCCCCTCCTCCCCCAAAGAGCATCTCACTTAACTTGAAAACTAAATCTGGTTTAGACTAAGGATTCAGAGAAGGTATTCTCTCGCATCCTAAGCATTACAAATGTTTTTATAGTCTCCCTCCACACAGGACACGTGCTGTTAAAATCTTATGGCTTCCCTTTTGAAGGAAATGGATTCTGGTAAACGTCTTAGCTCTCCTAACCTCTGTAATGCAGTCCCAGATGGGTTCCTATCCCTCGTCCAGTAGTTTGCTTCTCGACCTTAATAAGCCTTCACTGGATAAAATCATGTTATGCTTGAGACTGGAATTCTCGTTTAGTCAGGATCTCAGGACATGTCAGTGAGCTAAGCTTTCTAATTACAGGTGGGTAGAACCATGTTGCCTCTTCATCAGGAAAGAATAATCCTAATTCAGTTGATTTAAGAAGAGAAATTTTTATTTTCCTCCCTGCTTCCCCCTTCTTACCTCACCACCTACCGAGTATCCTTTGGTGGGAAAAGTAACTCCAGATATCAGAAAGTCAGCTTACAAAATACCCATGATTCCTTTCCCTACACAAGGAGATTGCAGAAACCCCACACTGATTCTGCGCACAGGAAAGCAAAAGAGCCCCCCACAGAAAAGCAAGTTGCTCACATGCTTTTCTGTTCTGTTAAAACAGAAATGGTGTGTTCTGCCCATTACATGAGCAGTGTGAAGCATAAGCCCATGTGTGCACAAGCTCAACCATTTCAGAGGGGTCAGTGTTGCCCAGTGTGTGTTTCTGAGGGGTGGCTGAGGCCCTGGAGAAATAGGCAAGCAACCTGAATGTCCTTGCTGCTCTTAGAGAACTTGGTAAAAAAAAAAGAATGTTGAAGGCAACATCCTTTGTGGAAGCAAACACTTAAAGCATGAAATGCTAAAAGTTACTCTTGGAATTAAGATTTCAAATCAGAAGAAAATAGCCAGAAAAAAAATATGTTAACATTTCAGATGTGTTGATATCAGATTCTAATGGTTTTTGATTCCTTGAAATTCTGGGTTATGATTTCTGATGCCTTCCCCAAGTCTATATTGGAAGAAGGAAGGAAGGAAGATAGCAAGGAAGAAAGGAAAGAAGGGAAAGAGGAGGGAAGGAGGGAGGGAGGGAGGTGGGGAGGAAGAAGGAAGGAAGGAATCAAGGAAGGAAGAAAGGGAGGGAGGGAGGGAGGAAGAAGGAAGGAAAGAAAGAAAGAAGAGAGAAGAAAGAAGAAATGAACACATTTGAAATTTGGCAGATAGAAGAAGCATAGGAAAAAACATGATTACTTATTTAGAGAACAATAACTTCTTAAGTCAATTGTATTGAGTTCAATAATGGTTAATTTTTAAATTGCTACTCTACAGTGAATTTTAAGTATCCAGAAAAGAAAAATTTCTCTACATTTATTATACTAGAAATCACTATTTTCCACACAAAATTCTTCTTAATAAGCCTCATTGTTTAGGTACTACATCCAGTTTTCATTACAATTAGGTCCAAATGGGTAAATGAGCCAGTATCAACATATGGATCCTCATTCACATCATACATATGCAGATGTTCATGTGGGTTATAGAAACTATTATAAATGATGATGGGTTTTTAGCTTCTTGAAAAAAGAATGGATAAAAAGTCCTGTAGAACATTAAAATAGGGTCACAAATGTGTTTTGTCCTGAACTTTACTAACTGCAAATAAACAGAAATTTTTTAAGGAATGCTTCAAAATTGCAGTGGCAGTGAATGCTTTTAAATTGCTGAAAATCAAACAGAACAATCTATGTGAATACATTTCCCATGTCATCTCCTTATAAGACTTTAGCCCTCCCCACCTTACAGAAGAAAATCCAAGCCCTTGGAATGACACAGCATCTCTGTGATGGAGTCCTTGTCTTGATATTTGCTCATGTTCTTCTAAATCTGTGCCCCTGCACCGTCAGTTTGCTTGTTTTCCCTCCATGTTGATGTTGCTTCTTAACTCCATCAACTTCTGTCCTTATGGTCTCCCAGCCTTTGCCTGGATCACATCTACTCAGTGGCTTTAACTGACCTCGGCCTGGGAACCTTCCCTGGTTGGACTCCACATCCTTCCCAAGTGCTCTTGCTCCCACCCCATCACCTAGTGTATCACTTCATATCACTGCTTTTCCACCACTGCTTTAGGAATTTGTTTTTACATGCACCCTTGGCTTTCTTATTTTAGGAGTACATCTTGTTCCTCATTTCTTCTGGCTTTCCCAATGCCACTTCTCTCCAGGCATGAAGTGTGACTTTTTCCAAGAGTGCTCTGGTGACAGCAAAGAGTGACTCTAAGGAGGACTGTATGGGAGTTGGAGGAGTGGTAGGAAGGTGGTGATATGGTACGCTTGTTGGAGAGCTGTTGAAGAAGTGATGCATGTTAAGGCAAGCAGGATAAAATGGAAGACCATTGATACTGGAATCAAGAAATTTGCAATATGTGTCTCACCCGGCCCCAATCCAAGCATGAACCCTGTGGCAATGTGCTTCCTCTCACCAATGATAGGATTAGATATAAGTAGTACCAGCATAAGGCCCAGCATATCTAGGGTGGTCCTTGTTTATTTATGACTACTATGCAGTGCTTGCAGTTTAATATTGCTCAGGTTTGGGCAAACAATTGTCTGGCTCCGCCCCTCTCAGTCCTTCTCCACATCTGGATTTATGGAAACCTGCGTCATCACCCAGTTTGTCCATATCGAGGGCTACACTTTTCCTCCTCTTGTCTTTCTACAGCCTCAGCTTCTTTGAATGAGAACAGCAATTCAAAGGAGAGCTTCAGTGAAGTGGTGGGAGGCAGTGGTGAGGAGGAAAGTTCTGGGCCAAGCTGCCTGGGTTTCAACCTCAATCCTCCTGCTTGTACACTGGAAGGATGGGAACGACACACAGAGCTCTGGGCTCCAGTTTTCTCTTGTCATGGTGAAACAATACTCAAGCCCTTTTCTATGACCAAGGAGGTCCTAGATGACTTGCTAAGTGTGCAGTGCCTAGGGAAGGGCCCAGATTCAGGGGCAGTCAGTGTTGCTGTCCACTGTATTGTTCTGCAGCAACGCCCACCACCTTTCTTCTCTGTGTGGACATTTCCATCTTCTTCCGTGTTTTTATGCACCAATTAGTCAATTTCCCAACTGAAGGTGCTCGAAAGTAAGAACCACCTAAATAAATGCAGATATGGACAGAGATGGTGCACGTACTCTAGGACTTATAGCAAAAGAGGGGGCCGTGCTAGCTGAGGCTCGAATTCATTGGAATCTCTGTTCCTGAAATCCTGAGAAAGTGTGTGGCCTGGTTGAGAGTCACAAGATAAGTACCAAGTGGTCAAGAATACGGCAAAACATCCTTCGCAGCCCATTAAATGTGGCCAGTGAATCTCCAACAGGAATTCTTAACCTTGGCTTCATAAAGAGCTTTAGAAATATTAATTCTTATACCAGTTCCAGACTAAGTCCATCCACATCCCTGGAGGTGGAGATTTGAAATGCATGCTATTTCAAGCTTCTCATTTAATTTGCAATTTTTACTTCAAAGTCAAGCAATAGCTTTTGTAGTTGTAGATACATAGTTTTAAACACTGGCAAATTCCCCATTTTTTATTTATCCAGTGTTCACCTACTGGAATAATAAAGTGTGTAATTATATAAGTATATTATATTTATAGTGATATTGATTAAAACAACGATTTCTTTGCCATGCCAGCAGATGAACATGAAGTATTTGGTCTAAAATCTCTGTAGCCCTTTGGTGGATATAACTTGTTAGGTGCCAGCTTACAGACTTTCCATTGGGGAAAACTCTCCTTGGTCTAGAAACATTATAGCAAACAACATACAGAGTTTGAAATCCATGTGTGAATTTGGTTTGGGTAAGATATGTAATCTATCACTAAGCCAGCAGTTTATGGTCAGAGATAAATTCTGAACACTCAAAGGAGTCAAAAAACTGCTCAGCTCTGTGAGAATTCAAAGCTAAGGACTCTACCTACTAGAAGGAAAAAAAGTGAAAGATTTCGGAGGTATTTATGCCATGTGTCTCTATAGAATAAAATGACTGCTGGAGCTCAATACAAAAAACTGTGTGGAAATGATGCCTTCCTTAGCATATTGATGAGCATACTGGCCAGCTTTTCATTCTTATAATGAAATACCAGAGGAAGCTGACTTTATAAAGAGAAAATGCTGAAAGTCCATGATTGGTGTGGTCTCTCGGCAGATAGTGGCACATCACAGTGGGAGACCAAGCAATTGATTACGTCTCAAACCAGAAGATGAGAGAGAGATAGGGAGGGCCAAATGCAAGCTTTTACGGCATCTACCAAGAAGTCCATGAGAACCATCCCTGAGGGCACACCCTCTATGCCTAACGGCCTCCCTTGGACCCCACCTCCCAAGAGCGCCACCCTGAGGACCAAGTTTTCAATTACAGTGGGTCTTTGGAGGACATTCACATCACATGCACACCACAGCAGCAGGTCTATGGGCATTTCTTAGTGCTCCACCTGGTTGCATGGTCTTGGGTGGAGGGGGCTGTGATCTAGTGGGAGGAGACAGCTGCTTTCCAACTCCAGCGGAGCTTCATACCATCAGTTCTGCTTTCTGAGTGTTTGTGTTCTGTTCTGTTTCCTAAACGAAGAAGGGAGTTTCTAATCCTTGACATCTCACCTTGAAGGAGGGAGATTACAATCAGAGTTAGAATGAAGGGGCTGGAATTGGTAAACATAGATAAAAACAATTTTAGGAGCCCTCAAAGTGATTACAGAGGGGACAAATTTAAGAAGCTCTTGAATTAGCTTATTTAGCTGATAAATAATTCATTAAAGGCCCAAAGTTCACACTGTAACAGAAAAGATACTGTTATTGTAATGTAGACAAGACCTAATGGAAAGGGGTTTTCACTTCAACAACAGAAAATAATGAAAACAGTGTAAAGCCTACAACACTGAATAAATACTAAGGCTTTGTTGGCATGACTAGGACAGCTGGAATTGATGAAGAGCAAAAGAAGGGAGAATTGTGACCTTAACAATGCCAAAAGGTTTGAATAGAAGGATGACCAGCGAGTTGTGTGATCAGGAGGCGGCAGTCCTAGAAAATCAGGGTGGTTAAGAGACCACAAAATAGAGTTTCAAGTCACCGGTCACTACAACAAAATAAAATTAGTGTAAGATATTTAATGTTCACCATTACAGACATAATCAATGAAAGTGGCAAGGTGTGAAGGGTAAATTTAATCTGGAATTAGGAGCAAATACCAAATAAGAACTACCAGAAATCTATCTTCTAGAATAAAGGAAAAGACACGGAAAGACAAAAAAAATTTCAACATAGACTTGATAGTATTTGGCAACAGGCAGAAAGTACAATGAGCTAATGAAGTGTTATCAGTTTCAAAGCTTATGCAAAGATTTATGACCACTAAATATGGAATTGCCAACTTGCTGGGTAAGTGGAAGTCATTCTAGAAGTTTAACACTACAGTTTCAGTAGGGTGCTCCTACAATGTTTGCTTACAAGGTCCACATGCCAGTACTTTTCCACCTAGGTTAAATTTAAGTTTGGTGAAAGGTCATAGAACTAACTCAATTAGATGAACATCAACTCTTCTATTTCCTTTCTAATTTGTGATGTCACTTGGTCTCTACCCGTGAGCTCAGCAATGGCCCATAGATGGGTGCAGCCTGCAAACACACCAAAAGCAACAGCACGTGGTGCCTCATTCACAGGACCACATGAAGGCAAGAGCAGAGGAGGAGAGAGGTTGGCTTCTTACCCTTGTAGTAGTGGTGGCTGCTGTTTTACAGAATCCCTTTCCCCCTAGGAAAAAGTGACCCCAACCCACCACCGCCCCGTCAACGTGACTGTCTACCCACACAGGAACACCCGTTAGAGAAATCCTGAAGCCTGAGATGTCTCTGTTCTTGTTTATACAGGTGACAAGAAGCTACCCAGGAGGAAAATGGAGTGATAGTATGCTATTTTCCAACAACAGGGAAGGAAGAAAACATGAGACTTTTTTCTCTCATCTGTTATTATTGTTTCTTTTGGGAGGAGGTGGTAGAATGACATAAGCAAGTAGAAAGGATAGAGGGTGATGTTTAAATTTAATTAGAGGGTTATAAGAGTAGCTTTATTTGAAGACCCTTGTTTTGTGAAATGTTGATGGTACATGCCAAAAACAATTCCTGCTGTCTCAGAACTTGTTACCTGTGTCTGACTTCCCTGGAGGGTGGCTTCTGGTCAAAATCTGGCCAAAGGCCAAGGAAACTCATGTAAACTTGGTGTCAGGGAGAATATTTACAGAGGGAGAGAGAAAAACTTAGAAGTCAAGAGGACAATTGGTGAAGACCCAAAGGAGAAGTTAACTGCATCAAAGTTGTGTTGAAATGAAGACAATGACTTCATTCTCTCAAATCTCCTAACTCTAGTTCTGTGCCATTTTAAAAAATAATGCTAACTTTCCTAAAAAAAAAAAAAAAAAGAAGTATTTAATGAGCTAGTTATTTTCAGGTATTTCTGATCCATTTGTTTCTTGATTTAGAAATGTAGGGAGGTGGACACTACTGAAGTTTTCTATCTACCTGGTACAACAGCAAATTAATTGGGGAAGTCAGAAAATATATTATAAAAATATTGGGAAATCTATCTTTTGGGAGAATGAGCATTTAGATCAGATATGAGCAGTGAAATGGACATTGTTAAAATCTCTTCCATTCAAATACTGATTAATTCCTCAAATAAAAGTTGTACATTATACTTAGGGAACAGACTGGATGGGAAATAATGTAATTTTAAGAACTGCTGAGATTTACATCTAATTGTCAGATGATTAACAAGGATTTGTGAACCCTATTTGAATTTTTCTGGTGGTTTTTTTCCAGACCTGTATCCATAGGCACATTTTTAAAGAACACTAAAGGCCAATGTCTATTGTTAAGTGAACACAATTTAGTTTTCCAGTGTGCCATTAGGATCACAAGAGTGGGAATGTGGGTGCCAGAACAAACTGGACTGGGGTTTTCCAACCTAACTTTATAAAGGAGAAATTTGGTGAAAGTGGACACTAAGACTAGAAGTTAGAGAAGAGGGTGGAATACGCCAGTGGGGCTGCCCTCCAAGAGAAGCCAGAGCAGGTACCTGTTCATTCCTCCCCTTCTCCACTGCTATGTGAATGTGAGCCTCCAGTCTTGCTTGGATTGAGGTGGGACACTGCCTCATCCCTACACCTGCTGCTGCCTCTTAACTGCTCTGAGCACCTCGTCTCAGCAACAGTCCAGAAGCAGTTGTCATGGTGGAAGCCCCCCAAATGTGAAGTCTACAGGGGAATCACATAAAGTTCCACACCCAAAAGGCTGCATACTTCTCAGAGTCATAGTAAGCTTGGGGCTGAGTGAGCCTGCAGATTTCTTTTGTGGCTTTACTATCCCCTAAAACCAAATTAAACCTGGATTGCAGCATGAACTGGCCACTGGTGACCACTACCCCAACACCAGAAATCCTTCCAGGCCATCTCCTATCAAGCACATATTAAGCACACAATAACCTGCTGTAGTTTAAGAAAAGATAACAAAACCCCTTAATGAATGCTGATTAAACATCCATTAAAAGGGATACAGCATTTGCTGCATGTATAGGGCTGTGTGAGGCCCTTAATAGTTGGAAAATGGCAATAATAGAGCTGAAATGATGATACCAGCAATAATATTTGCATAGTGTCAGGTAATTTATAAGCTAGTCTTACATTAGCCTCACAAAATTTTGCAAGTAGGCAATGTATTGTGCCATCATTTGACAATGAGAAAACAAAGCTTCCGATAGTGTTGAGCTAGTAAATGTTTAATAACTAACTCTCTGGGAAAAAAAAATGAAGCCTGGGGTTCAAAGCAGAAAAATGACAGGTGCACAGTCACATAGCTATGTGATTCCAAAGTCCAGCTCCATCTTTTTGTATCATAGGTCAAAGCCATAACTGGTCATCGGAAAGTCTTTCTTTAAGAAAAAAGGTATGCACATCTTGCAAAGCTGGATAAAAAAGGGCGGCTGGGGACAGAGGGTGTGAGTGGAGGGGGTTCTCTCGTTGGTGGAGACTGTCCCCCATCCATGCAGAGGGAGGAGCAACCGCACCCCACCCCAGACTGGCCCACATCTATGCTTCTGTTCCCAGGTCTCCATCTCACATGTGCAACCAATTTTAAATTGGGGTGGAAGAGTCCTCTGGCAGCCTAAACAATCCTCTACCTCTTCTTCTCCCCAAAAGGGTCACACATTTCCCAAGCTATTTTGAGCTGCTCTGCACCTACTTGCTTGCAGTATATGTCATAACAGGAAGCGGGTTTCATGTACTGTAATCCCCCAGCACACGTTGCGCCTGCACGTGTGGTGCTGAGGGGGCCAGGAAGCCTGGCCAGGCTGGGCCTCACCACAGCTTCAGGGCTGAGTCCTGATCCCATCCCAGGCAGAGGTCCTCCCTGCCCGACCCAGGAGTCACAAACCCGACTCCACATCCAGACAGGCTTATTTTCTTTTCTCATGTAGCTGGTGGTAAGTTTTTTTTTTTTTTTTTTTTTTAATAAAGCATTTGAGTAGGCAGCAGAGCCAGTCAGAGGTGTTTATTTATAGCTGTGGATTTTCAATGCTGTATAAATTAGAAATCACTGCTGAATGAGGCCCGCGCCCACTCACACACGCAGGGCCGCTATCTGGGAGTCCTTTCACACAGTTTGACTGTACACAGTCTAAAATGGGAGAAAATGACATGCTCCGAGTCAAATGACGGAGTCACAGCTAAATGGCGAAGCAGAAAACCAGCAATTATTTTTCCTCGGCACAATATGGGGAGTACGGCAGGTGCAATTATCCAATATTATTTAACAGCACTGGTTTGTGGTGTAGGGAGAAAATAAAGGTTTCCATGTCTTGGAGAGGGAAAAAAAAAAAGAGAAAGAACCTGCCTTGCAGCAGCTCTTGTTTCTGTGGATTAAGCTGTGTTATGTATATTGAAACTGGCCAGGATTCCAGGAAGGGAAGCAGGAGTTAGCACTTGGTCACCTGCCCCACAGGTGTGCAAGAGCCACCCCGCTGAGGGCACTGAGGAAAGGCCCCCAGCCTGGGGCCCCAGGCCTGGACAGCTCCATTGAGGCAATGGCTCCAGGTGACTGAAGGGAGGTTGGGTTTGCTCCTGTGCCTCTGGAGGACACCTCCTCCTGCCTCTGGCTGTCTTGCCCTCAGCTGACCACAGTGACATCAAACAGAAGATGGCCCACAAAGGATACTTTTCATTCCCTTTGTGGTCTTCCCCTTTGGCCTCCAGTATATTGTCCTTCTTATTCCCAACCTTGACTTGAGCCAGTCTGCCTGGGAAGATCCTTCTCTGCCGGCTCTGGTGAATCAGCTAGGGATATGGCTTGGTGCTCGTGCTTGTCCAGCATGCCCAAGGTCCTGCGCATCTCCAGCACAGCAAAAGGAAAAATAAATAAAATAGAGTTACAGTAGGATAAATGTTGTCCACGGCTACAGACCTCACTGGAAAGCCATTTCCCAGCTCTTCCAGAAAGCTTTTTCATAACCACTCCTCACACCCTTCCCATGTAGAGGGGAACATAGTGGAGGGGGGGGAAGATGATTTAAAGTGGTGGATAAAAGTTCCTGGCATCTAAGATCCCTCATCCTGATTGTAAACTCCTCAGGCCAAAGGCCATCTTTATTCCCAATGGGGCGTAACTCTTTTTTTTTTATTTTAAAGAGAAAAGAAAACCAAATAACAATAACCAAGACAAAAACAAAACAACACAAAAACAATTAAAATTATACAGAATTTCAAAACAAGGTGATAGGAAGTTAACAATGGTTGTTATATTACATGTTGTTGTTTTCAATGAAGTTGCTCAGATTGCCAGATGTAAGAAAGCAAGATTGATCAAACAATTAAAGAGAATAAAAATAATTAAAAAAACAAACATTAGAAACAATCCAAAGTTTCACTAATCAAGATAATAGGGACTCAATAATGGTTGTATATTGCATATTGTTGACTTCAAATAGGGCTTAATTCCACACCAATAGAAAGTAGTGAAAATGTAAACTGACTTGAGGAATACTTACAGCTTGAGTTCATCACCAAATATCTTCCACCCTAGGCATCCCCAGAAGCTGAGCTCTTCAGCCCTAGGGATAACTGTTTCATTTAAGATACTCTTCACCTTCAGTACCAGAAACCCTGTAATAGTGATGATCAGATTATAGTCTCATATGTCCAGCAATGGAACAAGAACTTGGGTAGAATGGGACATAGGATAGATTTTGATAATAAGGAGAGGATGAGGGGTGGGCTGGAGCATAAGAAATGCAGGTAAGTCTGAGCTCTGAAATGGACCAATTGGACATACCTGGTTATCCAGAGGGGAGCCTGTGGGAAACTAGGATCCAAGGCATGGAGACTGACACTTTAATGGGATCAGGAAACACTGAAGACAAATGCTGTGCACCTCAGAATTTATTTTACTTCAGATACCTGCATACCCCTTTGTAAGGGGTGATTTGTGCTGTCATAGGGACTTAGACTGACGTTATTACACCATCATGGCTGTGACCTTATTGAGCTCTTTTGAATTTGTCAGCTTTATCATTGCTGAGACACAATACCCAACATCCACAATTTAAAGGCGAAAAAGTATAATTTAGTTCACAGTTTCAAGAGAGTCAGTCTATGGTCAGCTGGCTCCAAGGCAGGAACATCATGGTGGAAGGGGTTGGCAGTGCAAAGATGCTTGGTTCATCGCAGCCAGGATGCAGCACAGGGAAACCATGGCAGAGAGGAGCAAGCAAGAGGCCATATGTGGTGTCCAAGGTTACACCTCCGTGTCCAACTTGGACACACCTGGAAGTGGGCATTACTAATCTGCTAGGCATTTCTTAATCCAGGGAAGTTGACCTGTCAAGACAAACGGTCACATCCATGAATGGTGTGATTCTTCAGGCTCTGCTCTTACTGCCATCCCAAGTATCTTGCTAATGTAACAAAAATTTTTGGACAGGGATAAAACCTCCCATTTTACATGGAAAGAGACTATCTGAACATGTAACTACTTGCTATTGACTTTGACACACGCATGATCAGCTATCAGTGAAGAAATGAAGAATGTCAAGGTTTGAAGATTTTAACATGGGAGGGTGCATGCTTCTCAGAGTGAAAACCAGGATGTTGTAAACAAAGGAATCGGTTCAGAAGGGGCCAGCGGCAGCCTCACTTTGTGATTATCCACCAAGGGAAATGCCATGAGTTGGTTGAGTGTGTGCCTTGCCTCTCTGCTCCTCCCTGAGAGATCTAATGGATATTTACTGTATCCCAAGATGAAGGTGGTCAGTTATAAACTCGGATTCCATTGGCACCTGAAGAGCCTAGAGCAGCACTGAGCTTCCACGATATCACTTTTTACCCATTGTCTATCAGTAGTCACAGAGACTTGAAATGCTGGCGAGAGTTTGATACTGTGCTCTGTGGCAGAGCCTGCTTCTCGTTCCCCACTGTAGCCCGCAGAAACAACACAGAGCACAATATCCCATGAGCTTCAAATACATGTTTGGTGCCCACACAGATTTAGGTGACATACTCAGCAACCTTTGGTAGCATCAGAATTGAAATCCAGATCTAACTGACCCATCGTTCCATAGTTTCCTCTCCACCAATAGCTTCTGATCTGATCTGATCTTGAAGATGCCCTCAGTAACAAACTTATATCATGATTCAGCATATAACATAACACAACACACATGCGGGTACATGAGTGTAGATGAAACAAAAGTTTCATAAAACCATATTCATTTCTACAACATGATAGACCCTTTCATTTCCC